AAAAAAAAAAGAGAATAATAAAAATAAACAAAACAAAACGAAAAGAAACGAAAAAGATATCGTCATCTTCAATCTTTTCGCGACATTTTCGTATGTTTGCTACGATACGCTAACGCATCGATAATGTCATAATATTGTTTTAAATAGAGATGTTATTGAAATAATATGGATATATATACAGCGGCATATTTTCCAGGAAATTATCGGACGTGCCAGTCTTTTCATTCGAATAACTTTCAATAGCACACATTACATTTCCAATATGAGAAAAATTCTAATTATCACACTGCAATTTTTTTATGTTAAAGATGTCATAATGTTATATTTACAATTATCATTCATTGCATACTTAAATATATAATAAACGTTGTTAGAGACGTTAAAAACTATAGTAATGTATTATAATAATTTTATGTCAAAACTGCTTTCAACAATTACAGTTTTCTTCAGTTTAAGATATATATTTCTTAAGTGAATTTTTATGGACTTCTACTCAACCTTTGAAGAAAATTATTATTTGGTTAATGTTAGATATAAAATGAGGAACATCTGCGGATATAATTACACGGAAACCTTTCATCGAAGAGAACGGGAAAGTCTTCTGCAATCGCTGTCTTATTTCGAGTGTTTTTTGAAAAAGGAGGTCCCGTACCTTGTCTGACCAGCCGGACTCATTCGTACTGGAAAACGTCCTGATCACGTTCGTGGTGTTATTTACTCGACACTTTATTAGCTGCCACTGCCTTTTATCCGGCTATCGAGGCTCATCTAAACTGACGAGAGAGAGAGAGAGAGCTAGAATTCGCTGATTTCAACATTTCCAAGATTCGTGGATTGATCTTGATCAAGTCGATATAGAATTTACAAATACAACAATCTTTTGTTAAACTATGTCGATTTATTACTACAATTTAGATTGTACAGTAGATAAACAAATGGTTTATTATAATTAGCTATAATATATTATATATATATATTATTAAAAAATCCAGAACAACTAACAATTCGAGATACAGAACGGACTCTTGTATAATTGTAATACACAGCAGAGAGTTGTTCTCTTTAATTCATGTCCAAAACAGCTTTCGAGAATTCGGTTTTACTGTACCAATAATAATGCGAGATTGCGCTGCTAATCGGTACTAATCAAGCCCTCGACCCCATCATAGCGGAAGCACGAGAGCAAGCGAATATGAGCACACCGCGTACTAATAACAGTAATAACCGGCGAGGTAAACACAGATGGAAAGAGAGAAAGGGGACTAAAGACGATCGAGTCTGAAAATAGATGGATTGCTGCATTGAAAAGTGCATCGAGAACGAGCCGCGACGCACGCATGAACGGAAGGATGACGAATTGTTGAAGTAACTCGTTGCATTTCAAAGAGAGAAAGAGATAGAGATAGAGATAAAAAGATAGAGAGATCTCCAATTTCAAGGGAATATGTGAAGCATAAAGTATACACTGTGCTAGAGCTGTGTAGAGAATATATATATATATATATATATATATTCCCTCCGTCTCTCTCTCTTTCTCTCTCTTTTCGTCGATTGGCAGATTTTCTCTTGGATCCGTCGAATTTTGTCAGCTAAACTTGTCTAACATGGTAAACGATGGAGGAAGCAAAGTTTTTACAAAAGCTTTTCAGACATATAGTGGTAAATCGCAACCACGAGATTTTTTTTATTGAATTATTTATTTTTTTTTTTGCACCGTTTAACTTTGCCACTTGGTTAATTCTTTTCTCGCATTCCCGCAGCCTCTTTTTCATCTTTTAATCTCATTCTATTCGATTTTGTTTCATCTTACGCTTGTCCTGTCGCTCTCATCGTTATTCATGAGACAGAGAAAACTTGTCATTATAAAAGAATAAAATTTTTCCTTTTATTTCTTCTCATCTAAGTTTTTAAAGAAAAGAATATATTTATTGTAATAAATTGTAGAATCACAGGTGTGTGCGAAAGCAATCATCTGTACAACATTTTCTATGTTTGTTTAGAAAGAACACAACTTTGAATTTCCTATAAACTTATAATAATTGAAAAGAATTCCATTTTATTATAATGAACCTATAACGGATTTCTAAAGTTGCAAACTAACGATGTACCATGAATTCTGCAAATTGTAAACTCTGTATCACAATTAGCTTACAATGATAGAATTTTAGAATAATTTCTCAAAAATCTAAAATCACTTAATGTACAATAGATCAAAGATGAACGAGTGATTGATCGATAATTTAAGATGAGCCAACATAGGAAACAAACCGGCATTTCGTCGAAGAAAGCAGATTCATTTCGATCAAAACAATATTTTCCACGATTAATATCAATCGATCAACACGAGTTGCCAAAGCGCGTTCAATAAGCACACACGTACGTATTTCGTCTATCTTGACGCCGAATATAATCGGAAACTGATTTAAAATACGCGGCCGCAACATTTGCTCGTGTTTTATGCATTCGAAAGTCCAACTTTTAGTGTCCCAATAATCGGAATTCTTCCTTCGGTGACCGTCGTAACCGGTTTTGCTGCCGGATCCAGTCTTACCGGGGATAAAAAGCAGTCGCGACACACTGAAACCGAAAATCGTCCGAGGCAAATTGCCCGAGCCCCATCTTCGGGCATAAAACGTGGCCAATCTCGAAGCATGTCGTCGAGATACGTGAGAGAAATATGTACATATTTTGTGACGAAGGCTTGAAACCCTACTTTATGCGAAATGAAAATTCTTATCTTCTCTCTTGTATTGTTACAATTCATTATTCATTATCCTTTTCGCGCTTTCGTTATTCATTACTTATATTCTTATATAAATTTTTGCAATCTATCTATCTCCATATTCTAAAAATTATACATGCGGATATAATTATTTTCCAAACATAATACATAATAAATAATACATAAACTTTCTCTTTTTTAGCTTCTTGAAGACAAATGCAATGCAAAGTGAAAAGAAATGTTAATTTGTATATTTTATAAAAATATTTAAAATTATTATAAATATATGTATTGTGGTTTAAGCCTTAAAATTTTATATCCCTTCTTCCCTCTATTATCATTATATATCAAAAGACTATTTAATTATTTTAAATCTATTTGTATACTTATTTCTAATTACTTGTGCACAATTCTCTTTCTCTGCTAAAATCTTTTAAGATATTTTAAATTTTAGCCGTAATATTTATATGCGCCAATTACATTATTAATGTGTGCGTTTCAAATAATCTGAGAGAGAGATGTATTATAGATTATTCGAAACATTGATAATGTTTGCGCATATTCACGTGCATACAGTACACATTGAACGGAAGAAAACCTTTAAAATAACTTGGCTTCATCAAATTTATTTTTATGCAAACAAATTTGTTAAAATTAAAAAAAAAAACTTTTTCCATAAAATAATTCGGATAGACGCGGTCGCAACTTTACAGTAAACTGCAATAAAATCCTCGAAAACTGACAGAATATAAAGCAATTGCGATATGCTGAGATGCAGGAAAGCTTTGCAGGAAGCTATGCCTTCTACAAATTGAGCGATCGAACGAGCCGCAGAGTACTAGGGGTGATGGATCCGATTAGCCACGGATCGTCTCATCCTTCGGTTCTAACTTTCTCAACGGAGTTAAACCACGCATAGTGCAATAACTCGATCAAACTCCAATAGATTTACTCTACTATTCCACATGTGTTTGCGTTTGAAAGAAATATTGCATACATTTTGTGAATTTCGCAGATGTTGCGTGATGAGAAACGAGAATTCTGTGAATTTAGTATGCAAAATGCATTTCAGAATTGTCATCATTATTGAATACTGCAATTACTAGTGATCAAATTAAAAAGATCTGACAGTTTTTGAATTAAAAACGATTGAAATTGTGCATGTGTATGTTGCATATGTTAAAATTATATGTTGAAATTTTGATTTGTTGAATTTCCTATATTGTTTCAGACTTACCATTAAAGCGGGATGTCCGATGAATCTCGAGGATTTTCCGATGGATATGCAGAGATGTCCGTTGCAATTCGGTAGCTGTAAGTTTAGTAAAAATTTATTTGTTCCATGACCCTCAAAGATGTCATTCGCTTTTTTCTTTTTATTTTTCGTGTTTGTTCGCGAGATATGTATTTCTGTTGATTCATTGTAAGATTTCGACGACGGGGTAACGGGAGTAAAACTTATTCGTCTCTCGAGTGATTTGTAATCCTATCTTATAAAAATTGTGCGACATAATTTTTTTTACTATCAATTTGATGCATTCCGTTGAAACATAAAATTACAAATTCAATTACAAGTCTATTAATTTTTTCGCGTGTTTTCGATTACTGTGCATATTTAAATGGTCAAGGCAGGAAAGATTAGGCATGTAGGCAGATTTTAATTGTCAACTATCGTTAGATCGACGCGTTAATCCTTTTGGCAATGCAAAATTAATCCGTTTATAGTTGGCTACACGACACGCGACGTAATCTACAAGTGGAACAGTGCGAGACAGGTCGCTATAGCGGAGGATATGAAGCTGTCGCAATTTGATCTGGTCGCCAATCCGACCGCAAATCACTCCATTGCACCGGGATTCTCGCATGGTGAGTGAAAATCTCGCAGATCAAGAATACCCGGTTTAGCCATATTTCTCCTCGCAAACATCGAAAAGACACAAAACTTAGTACAATCGAAATATCATGGCACAATCTTATTGTTAGAACAAAAAATAACGCTGTAAAAATCGATAAAAATAAAACTTTAACATAAACAATTCGATAAGATGAATAAATATTTCATACATATCAAAATGACTTAATGAAGAGATGTGAAGAGTCGCAAACTGGAATTTCTATAAAAAATTCGGTCGTATTGCTGGCACCTCGCATTACCGTCGAATATTGAAGACGACGAAAGGAACACGTTCAGGTGAAGCAAAAGATGAAGAAAAGTAGCGTCGAAAGTCGGCGCGTAGAAGCGACGACTAATTGCAGCATTCTCTTAAAGACGACTCTCCTCTTTTCCCTTTCTCTTTCTCCCTCTATCTTTCTTTCTCTCTTAAGCTTTACATAGGCAAGCATTCTAGAAGATTCGGCTGCAAATTTTAATTGGATTATCGATTAGTAAACGGTAAACAGCTGATTTGGCCTTTGCTGTTTTCTGATTCGATTGTGCACTTATCGAGGAAATCTGCTTAAAGTCATCAAATTTTGCTACGGATATATATAAAGAAATTCGTATAATAATTTTAAAAAACAATGTCATTATATTATATAATAATAAATTGTATAGCAATAATTACATATATATATATATATATATTGAGATATGATCTCGTTGAGATAATAAAGATTATATTTTGGACACAGAAAAAGAGAGATAGAAAGAGAAATTATAAAGATTGTACAAATGTTTCTAAATTACTGTAAATATATAATATCGTGTGTTTGTGTCGGTTCACGTTATAGAATTTTTGGTGTTTTATCTACAAAAATTACATAGCAAAATCATTCAACCACTGCATTTAAATTTCTCAATTTTTTTTGCTGATTAAAAGTGATTATTTTTAAAGTTTTTAATTTGGCCACATTATTCTCATTATCAGTTACACACGTTAAAATACATTTCAGCGGACTATTCGATGCTTCTGGTATACTTCCACTTGCAAAGGCACATGGGTAACTTTCTAATACAAGTATACGGTCCTTGCGTCCTGCTGGTCGTCCTATCTTGGGTGTCCTTCTGGTTAAACAGAGAAGCCACTGCCGATCGAGTGTCGTTAGGTAAGGGAAGCTACTCATTGATATTAATAATTTAAACGTTCTCTGAGACTTGCATCGTTGTAACATGTGCCCCTTGAACGTCGCTTTGGTATATATTCATGAGAGAAATGTGTACCGTAAATGCTTATAGGAAGATGTAGTGCGGTGCGAAACAAAATGTATCAAGAGGAATCTACATTAACCGCAAGCGAGAGAGCGTGTGTGCGCAAACCGCATAATTTAATATGCAACGCTTTCTCAATGTGCCGTAAATGCGCTAATAATTTCTGGCATCGTTAAGCTTGTAGCTTTTCTACGTCGAATGTCAAAAATGGAATACATATTGTAATTCCTTTAACTTGTGCCATTACGAGTCGGATGTATAATAAACATTGTACCTCAAAAATCTCGAGAACTCTGAATGTAATATATTCTCTACTGATACGAAATCGACTAAATGCCATTTTTTCTCTTCTTAATTATATCTTATTTATTATGTATGCCGTATTTCTCGAAAATGTTGCAACACAAATTAAAGAATTAGAAGAGAGTAATAGTGACGAAAAAAACTTTTTGCAGACTAAATTACCAGGAGAAGATATAATTACAATTATATATACATATAAATAATTATTTTATCATTACTCACACTTAAACTCTAGCAAATTTGACTCTTTTAAGATTTATATTTTCGTTCGATTGTCATTCATAACATCTTGTCCTGTTTCAGGTATAACTACCGTGTTGACGATGACGTTCTTAGGACTTGAAGCAAGAACCGATCTGCCAAAGGTTCCTTACCCAACTGCCCTGGATTTCTTTGTCTTTCTTTCATTCGCATTCATCTTTGCTACTATAATACAATTCGCGGTCGTACATTACTTTACCAAGTACGGATCGGGCGAATGTTATTTCAGTTCTGATTTAAGCGATACCGAAAGTTCGAGCGGGGAAGAAGACATAGACGGAAAAGTAAGTAAAGAATCACTAGTAAAAAAATACATAAACAAGCAGGAAATTATTGATTCTTACATTTGTTCAATTTCCTTTTGTTTTGTTAACAACAGATATAAAAATTTTCAGATATAAGTCTTACCAAGAATCATTTAAATCTGACTAAATATATAAGTATATATACTCGTAAATTGGTTTGTAGAAAATACTCTAATGTAGATATATTTATATATGTATATACGTATATAGAATATTTTTTTTATTTCGCTTTTAAGTATGATTTAAAATCATTCAATTTTTCCATATAATACCTCAATTTGCTCACGCAAAAGTTGTTTCAGGCACATCGGAAAAATTCCGAAACGCGAGGTTGCGATAACCGTGGCAACTTTGCGATAAACGGCGATAGCATGATAGAAGTGATACCGTTATCGGCAATCTCGATACAACCCGATAAAGATTCCGCAGTGAGTGACCACTGGCAAATATCTTGCGTAACCTGTAGCCCACCGTCACGACAGACGACGGCGACGACGGCGAAAACGACGATGCCGCCGCCACCGCCGCCACCGCTATCTTCCAGACAAACAACGTTGTCCACCTCTAGAAGACGACGCCGGAGAACGCCCAGATATAACTCGGTATCGAAGATCGACCGTGCCAGTCGCGTGGTGTTTCCCCTCTTTTTTCTAGCCATCAATGTCTTCTACTGGTATGCGTATCTCTCGCGCAGCGAACGAATCCATTATTACAATTCCAATATCGCGTGATATGCATCCATCGAACAACGCATCTTGCTTCTCCAAGTTTTGCAAAATTTGCGCATTAAAATTGGTAATTTAAAAAATCTGGATAATTTTCTTTTACAAGAGTGAAAGAAGTAAAATGTTACCTGTGAATTTTGCATATAACTACATAACTTCTCTCGAATTATTAAAATACCGTTAGGAAAATGATAAGATTTTATCTCGGATAAAATGGAAATTTGGGAGAATGAAAAGCGAAGGGTTTATCACGGAAGTTTATAGATAATAATGCGACGAGAAAATTTTAGCATCCATTCCGAAAAAGAATGCGGGGTTTCGAAGATAGAGAGAGATGCCAGAGTAAAATATAACAGCTAGACTATTGATATAAGATATGTTAATAATACGTTATACTGTTGCCAAATAATATGCAATAAAATTATTAACAAGCGGACATTTATCTTCCAATGCTATGCGCGCGCGCGCGAACACACGTGCCTATCATATTATATATATATATATATAC